GGAAGTCGATGTATAGTTGTAGATTGATCGAATTCGATGAAAAAGCACGGCAAATTGGAAGAAACAGCACGTTTTAGTTGATCAAAGGGAAGTGATTTCCGTTATTGCTCGTTAGTTGTTAGTGCTTGTTTACTTTGTATGTATGCATTTGTGCTTGGTTTGTGTTGCTTCTGTGCTGAACTGATTGATCCATCGCTCTCGTTGAGCGGTCGACTACGTTTTGTAGTTGATGATTTATGTTGAAAGCTTGTTTTAATATTTAAAATTGACGGAATTTGTTGTTGCTCTTGGTTTATTTGATCGTTGTAAGTATGCTGAAACGACTGTTGTGCACTACGAGCTCGAGTAAATTCAAGAAACTGATAAAAATCATTCAACATGTTGGGGTTTTGTGCTAGTGAACGAAGAAGACCTTCTCGCTGTTCTATAGTGTTGCTACCATAGTAAATTGGTGGTTGAAAACATTGTTGCTGCTGTGATTCACCCATTTCAGATTCACCAGTAATGAGATGAGTGGATCGAACGAGATTGTTTACTTCGGCTGATTGAACTTGAATAGAGGACATTTAGTGCTCCTCTGCTACTGCAGGGGAACTTACAAGATAGATGGGTATGTAAGAGAACCGTAAGGAATGCGACTGTTCTCGACGAAGGCAGATAAAGAAGTGATGCGTATGTAGATGATAGCTTAATTATTATTATTATCATCTTTTCATCACTCTCTGACGAGAAAAAAAAAATTATCGATTTTTAACATATAAATATGAATGATTTTCCATGTAAAAATCATTTAATTTATTGAACCAAATTCTAATCTTTTTTCTTTAATATTTTAGATTGGCTTCAACGATACAAAATTATACAATTCAATTCAATACAAGTCAACAAAATAATGTAGGTATTCGTTTTAATTTTTTTCTTTATTGGATCATACAGAGGGTGATAAGTCCTCCTATGATCTTTTTTATGTATGTTTTCTTCTATTTTAGCCGTTCATCGATGAAGAAGAAGATAACAGGGGTAAGTTATCTTTTTTTTTTCTCATCGTTTTATATTTTTTTTCTTTTCCTTTTAGAGATGTCATCATCCAACAGCAACGAGTGAGTGATTTTTCTTTTTTTTTCTTTAGATGAAAGTTAGTTAAGTGAGTGTTAGAGGGGGAGGGGGTGCGTTGAGGTTAGGTTCGTCTTATAAGAAGGACTTCCGCGTAGCCCCTAAAAGCCCGGTCAGGAACTGCTCTGCTGTCTATGGCACACGATCAGGCCTCCAGACTCACTGACATATGACGTCGGATTGATGCATGTGGATGATGTGGGTCTTCCCGCGCGTGCATGAGCATTACACTCGCCATGGCTCCAACAGGGTAGTTCCTGGTCGCGCGCGCGTGTGCGCGAGAATAGAATAAATTTGAATCCATTTTTTCATTCAATCACAATTTATTTGAAAGAGAAAAAAAAAGAACGAAACAAAGAATTAATCATACGAATTGAGTTTATTGGATATTAAATTTTTGTACTCGATCATTTCCGTTATCGACGACATAGAGATTACTATGTCGATCGAATGATAAATCTGCGGGACACTTAAGTTGATTCGACTGTACTCCCCAACCGTTTCCACCAATAATGACATTTCCTTGTGTGGCTCCTTTTGGCCAACGCATGATTCGATGATTCCCTAGATCAGCCACATAGACAGTACCCAATTGATCGACAACGACTCCTTGAGGATAATACATTTGTGTAAGACTATTTCCTTCTCCTTGACCACCGGCTACGACAATGCCTTGTGTTGCACCTTCTTCCCATTTCATTACACGATGAGTGTAACAATCAGACACATAAACTGAATGATCTCGATCGACAAATACGTAGCGGGGATAAGAGAGTTGATCGAGACGATTTCCTTCTCCATTGCCACCTGCAACTACTGTTCCTTTAATATCACCAATTTTATATCGTCTCACTTCATGTTTTCCAATGTTAACGACATAGAGAAAATCATTGTCGTTCATTGTCAAACCATAGCAAGCGATATTTGAAATAATTGTTTCTCCACTAGTACCATTTCGACGAGGCCATCGAACTACTCTTTTATTCCGTCCATCGCTGATGATGAAACTATCGCTCTCTTTGTTGATAATCACATCATATGGGTAGTTTAACTGATGAGCTCCATTACCTGATCCATTTCCACCAGCAACTACTGTGCCATTCGTTGCACCAGATTTTCGTTCCACAATACGATGATTATCCCGATCAGCGACATAAATGGATTGATCATCATCGATGTACAAACCCCATGGAAGAGAAAGTTGATTGGTTCCACTGCCCGATCCATTTCCTCCAGCAACAGTGATACCATTCTGTGCCCATTTTGCACTCGGATGAATATCAATGGAACTTGCACACATTGGTACTAAAATGAAACAAAAGTATGAAGTAGAAATAAACATTGATTTCATTGAAATGAGTCCTTCTCATTTGTTTTAAACAGTATTGAACTGCTCTCAATTACAAAAGCTTTTTACTTATGAACTTAATTAGAATCTGATTTTGTCAATGTTGAAAACAAACATTGTTGATTTTTTCAAATACTTTGTGTAAGAATCCTTAGTTTGACTCAAATTAACTAAGATTTAACTGGTAATGTGAAAAATTGCCATGAACTCAAATTTTATCGTGAATGAAATTTTCTTTTATATTGAATTTTTCCAACGTATTCGCTGATTTCGTTAGTTCGACTCTGAAATATATTTAGATTTTGTGTCATTAATTTAAAAGTCATTTCATTCTTTTTTGTTTGGATTTTACAATAAAATGAGTTATAATAGAATTTGAACGTAAGAAAAAACAATTTTGTTATCAGTTGATAGGAAACTTTCTCATCTTTCGAACGATGTATGATTTATGTTCGTCACACATTTCTGAGTGAAATGAAACAAAATAAATTTGCCACTTTCATATGAATTCGTTAGAAACATCTTGCTAGATAATAACGATAGTTAATTATACGTAACTATTATCCATAAGACGTTTTTGGCTGATTTATATAAAAGTTGCAAATTTTTTGTGCAACTATTTTTCTTTCTTATTCCATTTACGAATGTGTGACAAATATAAATCATACACCATTCGAAAGTATTTTGTGCAATTAATTTTGCATCATACTTATTATTGAGTAATTTATTCCTGAATCTCAAACAAACAAGTAGTTTGTAGAAAGGCTAATCGAAATGCTAAATAAGATAAGTTTAGATAAAAAATACGTAAGTTCGAATTTTAGTAGATAAGAAGAACTCAAAAACAAATCTTTCCCAAGTTCAAGAATATTTGAAGAATCTGTCATATTCATTATTCTACATTGTAGCACAAACAATAATCTATATACGAATCAATCAAATCTTTTATTTTGAATTCATTTCTAATGTATTACAAATTTTCAACTTAATTGGGTGTGGGTGTATCGGACACAGTTTTGTAAACGATAGCAGTTTCGATCACGGATCGATTTCGATCTTTCTACAATTAAATATTTTCGCTTCTTTACAAGACAATACGAATCTCCTATGAAAATCTTGATCTAAAATGTTTGCAAGCTTATGTTTTGTAGGTTATTCAATAGGTGTAAATTTTTGGGGATTCTCACAAAAAAGCAACGATCGTAAAAGATTTCATCATGATTTTAGCTATTCTCAATAGTAATAAGTGTGAAGATTTCTTCTTCAAATTGTTATTGTATCGCATTCTGAACTGGTTAAATCTTAGAAGAAAGTTTTTTTTGTTTGTCTAGAATTTTCTAAAGGTTGATATTGATATTGATTTGAGCTTTAAACTAGAAACAATACTTCTATGATTATATCTTGAATGGGCAGTTACAGAACTGATGAAGTTAATAAAAAATGTCATGCAGTTTTATAAACTCCCTATAAATAATTTAAATAATTTCATCCTTCTTAATTTATCTATGAAGAATCTAGCTATAATTGAAATCTGGATTAAATTTAATACTATTTAATCAATTTTCATTTTTATTACATGTAATGTCATGTATTTTTAATATGTTTAATGTCTCAGTTCAAGTGGAAGAAAGTACATTTTAGTATTATTTCTTTTCTTCCATCGACAAAAAACAAATACATATAAAACGGTATGAGAACTATAATTATGTGCCAAACAACTCGAAGATGAGAGTGAGAATCAAAACAATACTTTCTGCTTTTCAAATCAAAGAGATTGTGAGACATAAAACTCTAGTAGGTAATTTTATTTTCTACTTATAGATGATGGCATAGAGCTATATGAAATGCTTATTAACACTATAGATTTATTTCAATTAAATCAAACTTCTCAAATATCTCTTATACACATGAAAATAATCAGTCTGACCGGCTACCTTGCTTCGTTTTTTTGCACATAAACTTCAGTCTTATTTTAGAACAAGTACAGTCAACAATTGCTCTATATTTGATATTATATAAAATCCTATTCATTATTTTTCATTTTTGCTATACTGGTAGTATAGAAATTCCCATTTTTATTCCTTGTTTTTCTATTTTGGCAGTTTAGAAAATTTTATTTATTATTTTTCATTTTTTATATTGATAATATAGAAAATCTCAATTTTAATTTTCAATATCTCTATAACGATAATATAGAAAATCTTATTTTTGAATTCTTATTGATTTTAATTGATAATATAAATATCAGTTAGTTTTAATTCTTATTTTTCTATATTACCGATATAGAAAAATACAAAATAAAAACTAAGATTTTCTATGTCAACAATATACAAAAAATAGAGAATAAAACAAATTGTTATCTTTGTTACCAATGTAGAAAAATAAAAAATAACATTCTCCATATGACCAATGCAAAAAATAAGAAATTAAAATCAGCATTTTCTAAACTATTATTACTATAGATAAATAGGACACAAAACTAGCTGTTTCTATATCATCAATATGGAAAAATAAAAAATAAAAAGTAAGATTTTCTATGTTATCAATATAGAAAATATAAAATAAATAGGGTTTACTATTTTATCACTACAGAAAAATGAGGAATACAAGTAACCGTTTTGTACTCTATTAATATAGAAAGGTGAAAAATAAAAATAACCGTTTTCTACACTATTAGTATAGAAAAAGAAGAAAAAAACTGACGTAAACTATTCGAGTCTTTTTCCCAGGTACTGTTCTTTATCGGAAAGCTGATGGAATCAACTATTCTCGAATAAGGGAAAGAACAGAACAGACCATACACGATTAGATGCTAACAGGCAAGATCTACATTATGTACCGTGTATGTTTCTTTTTTTGGATCTTATATGATCTGTTAAGATCTGACAAGAAGGATCCAATCTGTCAAAATCAGTGTCTTAATCATTGAGTCTTGTAAGATTATTTGCTGACACTGCACAATCAAAATCTGAGAACATCTTTAAAAAAATGAACATATAAGATAATGTTCGATATTGTAACAAGATCATAGAAAAAACCTTATAGGAGTAAGACCTCATTGGATCTTGCAGGATCTAACATCTGTTTTTTTTCGGGGTGGGTGTGAATGTGGCTATAGATGAATCATTTACCCACCCATCGTGGTAAGAATTGGAACATATAATTTCACCAATATAAAATCGGAAAATCTAATAAAAAGTTGCTTTTCCATTAAGGTCATAAAAAACAGATCAGTTGTTAATTATGAATTGATCTGGAAATTCGCCAATAATAGTAAAACTGTATTCTGACTTTAGATAGCCTATTATCCAAAAATATGCAGCACTACTTACAAAAAACCAAAAATCTCGCTTTCAATTTTGCAACTTATGTCTACATGGTTTCCTACTATAGACAAGCCAAGTGAAATTGAAATATAAATACTGACATGATTGAAACAAGAAAAGAACATATCCTATTGTTCGGATGACAGGAAAATATATTTATTTACCTATATAACTAAAATACTAATCACCTATCTTATTTCTAAAATCTTCTTGCATTTCAAGCTTTTCAATAGTAGCCGAGAAAGTGTAAATTAAATTAAAATAGACTCATATCTATTCAATAACTTCAACGAATTGCCACCTTGACGGGTATGGGTGTGGGTGGGTGTGGGTGTGGGGTGTGGGTACGAGGGATTCTCAGTGGTTGTTGATGCACGGATAGTTGAGTGCGCGTGTTTGGATGTACATGACTAGATGTGATGTTGCCACAGCTCGTTTACCATAACCACACCCACTCACATCTATCCACAAAGTATCGCATCCAGATCCACACCCGCACCCTGATTGAACGTAGATGTATAGTTGTGAATAGAAGTAGGCATGTGCCGAGCTCGAGCCTAGACCGAGCAGGTGGAGCTCGGCTTTGGCCGAGTCAGATTTGGTCGGACTTAAACTCAGCCAGAGCCTAAACGAGTCTAAACGAACCTGAGGTACTTGTACTCGGTACATGGATAGGTAGGATTGGATGTTTGAGCGTGGTTTATTGAATGTGGGTGTGGGTGGATGGGGCTCTTATTTTCACTCACACATCCATACCAACCCTGAAAAGGGTTTCGATCTGACTGCTAAACATTTTTATGTTACATAAAGGTTTCACACTCGCTGTTAATGATCCACTAATTCTTCTCGATAGGCAAACTTTCGAAGCGTGAAAGTATCGTCTTTAGGCCTTATCTTATGAAATAACCAGTGACATTATTTTGATAGTTCGATCTCAATGTCGAAAATCACGAAAAGATCATAAATAGAATAGGATACATACGTAGAAAGCTAACTATGTTAAATGTGGACAAAATTCTACGAGAAAGAACCATTAAATCAATAAAATTGTGTGCGCTTCATACAGATAAATACACTCGATAGACTTCTGATAAAAAGAAATCATCAGTTGATCAGATAAACGAAAGTCTGTGATGAATATCTATTTCATTTTTGTCTCGATTCTTTGCAATGAATATTCTAGTCATACTTGTGTTATACTGATGACGTTAAAAAAACTGGCAGATCTGCTTAGTGAACCATGGTTGTAAGTTACTTACCAGGATGCAATAATCAAAATAAAATTTTTCAAAAAATTTCAATAATAATAATTTCCAACTTGGTTGAATGTTTTATATGCAAACTGCGTCGTTTGTTTGTCGAAGGACTCTTGTAGTACTTGTGCAACATAATACGGCTTTACTTATTTTTCTTTTTTCTCTCTTCTTTATTCGTTTTTTTTAATTTCTGTCAATCAAGTGATTTTTTGAGAGGCACTGCTCATGACAACAATAAAATACACAACACGGAGAGTAGACAAACAATGACGGCAAACAAAAAATATATTGGTAAAACGAAATATATTTCAAATGGACACCACGCATTGATACTCATTTTTGTATGATGTGAAACTGTTGGCATTGTTGA